GAAGCTTTTGGGCTGAAGCCCGTTTTACAGAAAAAAATATTAAGAACTATCTCTTTAAGTATTCTTGATCGTGTAATTACATTTAATAGGACTTCAAGAACCATTTCATATAGGTAGTTCATTTCTTTCTTTTTTTTCTAATTAATTATCTGATATGTATATGAAAACAAATCTTTCGGGCTGAAGCCTCCCCCCTCCCAAAATTACATCCTGAATACGCTAGTGATCGGAGTGTTAAGGAGAACTAATCGTCTTGCGTTAAGTATGACAAAACCGAAAAGTAGAATGTTCTTCCTCTCTATCATTTCAAGCTATTTCTGCAGACACCATTCCAATATTTGAATTTATAATGTATAATTTTTAGACAACTGAGGGTAAGCAAATAGCTCTATAATTTTCAGACAGTCTGACTTGCTTTCTCATGGATGAGGATAATATTTTGTAATCACTCCTCTGACATTTTCTTTTCATTCATTGCTTGGAATTCGAAGAATCCTTTTCAAATCTTATTCTCTTCGTTTTGAGGTAATGTATCAAGACCAGCAGTCAGAAGTCTTATTGAAGTTTATGCTATTAACTATCATGTCTATTTCATTGTTTGTGGTGAATTGTTAGGTGAGTCCCATATCATCAGAACAAGTGGCACTCCAACTATTCCAACTCCTCAGGATAACTATGTGTGCATATATATAAATAAATAAATATATAAATATATATATATTATTGTTATTATTATTATTTACTTGTTTTTGTTGCAAATCAGGGGAATTAAATCTTGAAATACTAATACAAACTATGAATCGTGAATGAAAGAATATAAATAAGTGATTACTTAATAACCTAGTGTACATAATTTTATTTTCAAATCTTTAATTAAAATAAGCAAGCCCTTCATGATATGGGCAAAGATATGAAATCAGGGAGAAAACTAATACAAATTTGGAAGCACACAGAAATCATAAAATGAATGCTATTTTGTGAATAAATAAGGATAGAATATTTTCATAGAACAAATATTTACAGAAAATGTATGTACATATTCATAAGTAAAAACAAATTAAATTAAAAAAGTAAAAAAAATATATACAATATATCAAAATATGGGCACCACCTGTACATATATCTTTTAGTACATGACAAAGATTAATTGAAGGCAAACAATTTATAAATATGCAAATGATATCAAAGCAAATATTTATAAAAGATTAAATGGAAGCCAAAGCCAAAAGCACAAGGCAAACATATTTACAATGATGAAAGTTAAATAAAATATAAAAATAAAATAAAATCATAAATAAGAAGCATTAGCTTATGAACAAGATTAATAAAGTATTAAAATGGTATAAATTAAAAAAGCGAATACAAAAAATGTTTAAAATGATATTTGTAATGAAAATTAAAATGAATTTATGAAATTAAGGATTAAGTAACATTATGATGTTCTATTTGCAGGTAAATAATATGAATGAAATACTATTAGGTGAAGTTCTTTAATTAAAATTAATACTTCATTAAAAAATTATCATCTTTTAACGGATTTAAATTAAGATTATTAAACATAATTTAGAAAAGAAATTTAGTAATAAAAATAATAGGCTCACATTTTGAGTTACTGAAATGTACAAACATAATAAAACAGAAATTAAGAATCAGTTTTTTTAAATTTAAGATATTAAAACATAATGAAAAACAGTATTATTCAAAGGTCCTGTGTTAGATGTGATTCAATCAGTTTTAATCACTAGTGTTGTTATTGTTATTGTTTACATTAATCATCAGTTAATGGTGTTCCTGTAACATGATATATTATACACTTAAACCCAAGAAGTATAGGATGAATATTAAAGTTAAAAAAAACAACAGAAAACAAAGTACACTTTTCATTAATAATGTCAAAATTTGCAATCAAATCATTAATATTAGTTGTACTGTAAAGTTAATAAAAAAATCTTTTATGAATGATAAAAAGCTTATGGATTATAAACAGCTCATTATGGACGTATTTATTGTTAAAAGCTATTGAATGTGACAAAGCTAAAATTTAGAAAAATGTGATTTAATAAACATATTTCAATGGATAGCTAACACATATGTGTGGGTGTATATGTTATTGCATAATGCAATAAGTTTTCATGACTTTTTACTGATTTCAAAAGTAGATAAAACAAAATATTTTCTTTGATTAAACCTGAATAATTAAAACAAATGGTTTCATAAGAAAACAAAACTAAAATATTTCCAAGATACCATGCACTTACCTAAGTACCACAAAATCAACTCAACCAAAAAATCAAAATATTTGCAGCAATCATCTCAATTCACTAATGTTTGGTCGAAAGAGCTTTAAGTGATTATTTTTTAAGAATCTTGCTCTATTGACTGGTAAAAACTTAAGTCTCAAATGAGTCCACATGAGGCTTAAGCTGTTAATGTCAAAGAAAAAAAAAAAAAAACAATTTTCAATTAAGAAGGAACTAAAATTTTTGTTCGTAAAACTTATGACTTAAGCCATTTAGACTAAACAATGGTGAATCAGTAAAAACAAGAGTTCAGAAATATTCATAAATCTCAGAAAAAAATACAAAATAAAAGAAACATGCTTAGGTATAATCACACCAAACGAAAAAATAATTAAATCACTAATATACACTAATTATCCAAATAATAACAAACCAATATGCATCAAGACAACAGTAATGATTGATAAGAGTTTAATGCACTGGTTTGAAAAAAAATAATAATAATAGAAATATAACAATATTAACACATAAAAGGAATAAAGCTTGGGTTGAACTAAATGAAAAGAACAATTTACTTTTTATAATTAAGAGTAGATAACTAAATCATAAGATAATATTTATTTACCCTAAAACCCTCAAGTCATGATAAAGTTATATACAGTGAAATAACAGAAAAATTGCCACTAAAGAAGAATATGTAATTTAACAACTACATGGAAAACATTGATGGAAAAGTGCGGCTACATTTGATTGTTCTAACCAAACATCGATTTCAACTAACTATAGCCCACCAGGGAAAACATAAACTTACTTCTCTTTCTTCACGAGTCCAAGCATGTAAAAGATAACTTTTATAAGACATTGAAAATTGATTTTTAATGAACTTCAAAAAAAAAAAATTATTTTTGGATAAAACGTTTATCACCAATATTTTTTATTTATTTATTTAATATTAAAACATGAGGCAAGAGCAAATGTAGCATTTCTCAAAAATAAATTTATTCTACAAGGAATAAGCCTAAGAAAATAGGAGCTGAAACTTATTCATACAGTATTAACAGGTAATTTATTCCATTCATAATATGAACTAAAATGATAACTCATGTCTGCGATTTCGGAAAAAATTTAATAATTAACATATATCATTGTATCCTGTACTGATCAGCAACAAAATGACTCTAAATGAACCTAATATCTCAAAAAAAAAAAAAAATTGAGATGAAATTTGAATCCTATAATATTTCTAATCAAGGTCCAGGAAGTTATAAACGACAAATTTTCCATAATTTGTACATAGTTAAATAATAAACCTAAAATTAAACTTATCAAGCAAACTGTCCGAGCATATTCCTCCCTTATCAATTAAGGAATGAATTGAAAAACAACATGGAAATCAATATCAATGGATCAATCCTAAGTTAAAACTATGTCTTGTGTGTTGATGAAACTTTAAAACCTAACTTGGAACATTAATTTTTAGAAACATTGATGCCATCCATTCCAATTTGAACCTTAATGCTCTAAAATTCTTTCTTTCTGTCACTAGGGAGTGGCCATTTTCTCTCTCGATTGCCACTTCGTAACTATAAATTGTTCTCTAAAAGCATTTTAGATAATGGTGGTACTAAAAACTTTTCTCTTATTTCAATTTTCACCACAACTAAAAGCGTTGTTAATAAACTAATAAGCACTTAATATAATTAATTATATTTGTACTTATTTTTTATAGCAATCTATTTCAGGTTTCTTCCGATCAAAATGTTTTCCTTTTTTTTTTAACAGTTACATTTTCTGCCTTTCTTTCTCAATAGATGTTTGGGTTATAAAATCTTCATTTTCCTCTAAATTGTAAAGGAATCATAGTATATGTTAGGTTTTTTTCCTAACAATTGATAAATTATTGAGGAGAAACATTCAACATAATATGGTATCAAGGTTTAGGCTAATTCCATTAAATAGCAATTCTTAACAGACTCAAATTAATCATATTTAATGCAAAAATAAGTGACTTCACAAATGGAGATAATTAAATATTATGCTAATGAAAGCAGTTTTAAAAACACTGAATTTATTATGTATATTATCAAAGCAAAACAGAAAAAAAGCAATTATACGATAATTTTATGCAGCTTTAAGCTCACTAAGTTAGGAAAATATATCAATCTTTAATAATACTAAAAATTATTTTGAAAAATCTAAATTATGTAGTTGTAATGCAATTGATAAATTACGACAGATATAAAACACTCATATATTTACAAAAGAAAGGCTTTCGTAAATTTAAAATCTGTAGTAGGTAGGCTTATGGATCGAACAAATAATGCAAACATTAAAAAAACAACCAGAAACATAACAGAAAACTATTGATTACAGTGGTAATACATAATCGTATTTAAGTTACGCTCATAAACATAGCGATGTAACCTATGATTCGAAAATAAATTAATACCATTTTGATAAAGCTTTTCAATGAAATAAAAAGAAAAAAATGGGGAAATGGTTTACACAATATCTTTTAATTTCTGGAATGAATCCTTTCCACTTTCTTTCAGAATTCTATCCTATTCATATTCAAGTTCATCAATATAATTTAATCAAATATTTAACAAGGTATGTTAAAACTAATTTGATAGTAATTGCTAATGAAAATTAATTTGCTCGAAATGCAAAAAAATTTACCGATTTCCTGAATATGTCAATATGAAGATAATATATAAATAAGGGAAAATTAGTGTTGGAGTAAATATTAAGAAATTCAACCTCTTGTTCCAACTGTTGTTGTAGGGTTTGTACTCTTCTCTCTGCACCCACCAAATCTTGCTGTATTATACTCTCTGTTCCAGGATCCTTGTTTTTGGCAAGCTTGCTGCGGAGAGATTCAACATACCTCCGCTCTTTCTCGAGCATCAACTTGAGAGTATGTGCTTTCTCATACTCAAGTTGCCTCATCTTCTCATGCTGGAAATGAAAAAGTGCTACTTTCACTTATCCGTGTAAATAAGAATTAATTATCCACAATTTATTTATTTTTCCCATTTAAATTTTTTTAATATAGAAATACTGGCTTTTATTTTCAGTAATGAACAAAAATACAAACTTTTTAACTATAAGTAGATAGATTCAAGGTAATATCTGATACATTATTAACCAATAACCAACTCTATACAAAATTAAATTCTCTATACTTTTTTTTTTTAAACGAGTTTATAAAAAGAGAAAGAGAAATGTTGTTTCTTAAAAAATACATTTTAGATGTTTATTGCATTCTAAGAACATTAACTCATATTTCAGACTGGAGAACGGATATTTCCACTTTCTAACTGACAGAACAAAAATTATATATATTCCTACTTATGATGACAGAAATTTCTTCAAAAGATATATTATACAAATAATAAATAAAAGAAAATGAAGACATAGTTCTATACAACATTTTTAATACTGATTAATGAAAAAATCATAAGGATTCTCCATGCATATCAATAATAATAAGAGATTTTCAACAAAAATTAATTATAACAATAAAAGTTCTATGTTCAATCCTACGGAAAATAATCAATATCTAGACCAAATGAAGACAAACTGAAAAGCCAAATACAAATTTATTAGGGATGTGATTGCCAGCTAATTCTAATTAAGTGAGAGGAAAAACAACTTAAGAAAAAGAAAAACTCACATCAACCGGTTGCGGAGCAGTGATCCGATGATCCCTCGAAGGCAGAGAGTGGTGGTGATTCGCCCTATGAAGATTTGGAGAGCTCATCACATTGCTGGAGGATCGCTCTCGGAGGGGATTTTGTTGGACCGTTAGGACAACCTGAGAAGCCGCTAGAACAATGTAAAAATAAACATATATTAAAATAATTTACATTTTTTAATTAACTTTTTAAATATAGGTTGCCACAGAATGTGTATTTAAATATAATAAAAAAATTATATAGCCACTAGCTGTTTTTAAATGCTTGTATATTAATAAGTTTAATATAAGAATTAGATAAAATTAATCACCACTAAAATGTCACATCAACTGTATACTTATATTTTTGAAACTTCCTACAAGAATAATTTATTTTCAAAGAAACCAAGCTAGAAATGATAAAACATAATAACTGAATTATAAATATCGGGATATGATGATAGAGGCACAGTTGAAGATGTCATGAACAATTTTTGACATCATATACAACTTCATATATGTATTTTAATCTAAATAGTGTATAAAAGAACTCAAGAAAAATAATCAATTTAGGATTAACTACATAAGAAAGATTTATAATTAATTTGTAAATTCAAATATACCTCAAGCTAAAAAACTTTTAAACATGAACTACAAAATGCCAAAGAAGATAATGAATACTATAGTGTTAAATATAAGAAAAAATATGTCAAGAACCTGAAGAAGATGGAGAAATGAGCGTTGATTCAGCATGTATAAATATAAGAAATAAATAATTGTATAACATATAATATATAAAGAAAAGAAAAAAGAATCTGTTCACAAATTAAATTAACAACTCAATGATATGGTAGTACTTTTTACTGAAGTAAGGTACTTATTTTTATTATTTTAGACAGGAGATAAATGACAAAAAAATATCATTTTAATGATATTTTCCTCAAAATTTTGTATTGTAGGAGGGGAGTACATTTCAGATCAGTTCCATGATCTCAGGGATGGCCCAGAAGAGGGTAGAGTAAGCGGCAAGTTGCACCAGCAAAAGTTTTGAGGAGGCATATTTTGATAGGGTTTCAAAGTTTTTAGGTAACATTTTGAAGTAACTTCCAAACCAGGAAAGAATAGGAAAACATAGGACAAATTTACAATTATTCTAATTATGCTTTCTTTTCACTATATTTTTAAAAGAGAACACCAATAAAATTTCTTGGGGGAGAGATGCTAACTAAAACCCGGTTTTTGAGGTTTGGCGGATTTATAACTTATATAGGAATGTATATGCGTATACAACTAGATAAATCATAAAACAATGAAAGAAATTGTTGATTACACGGAGAAAAAATTGGATAGCTTTCTATTCTGTGCAAATGTAAAACTTTCGTACCTTCGGTAGTGAGGAAGCAACATATAAAATGCTCATAAACAAGAGATGAGACAGAAATTCTGTAATTGGTTTTTAAATTAATAGCAATCAAAAAATTATTAATAATAAATCTCAATTTAATATGCTTGTTTTTTAAATAATGCTTGTTTAGCCTATTAAACGTAACTTACTTAATTCTTTATGGTAATTAATGGCTTCATGATTTGGGACCAAGTGCAGACACGATTGTTTCCGCCGATAAGAAAAAGCAAAAGAAAACACATTAACAAGAAAATAAAAAGATGAAATGGTAATGATAAATCAAATACATGTGTGTAAATGATTAGAAAATATTTAAATAAATACTATGATGTGGATGAAAATTACGTTGTGTAAGATAAAGAAAGGTACATTAAAATACACAAATAGTGTAATACAATAGCAAGCATACGCGCAGACTTCGAGAAAGGAGGGGCGATCGATATTTTCGATTATATTGATTTAGATATTTTCAAGTATATATAATTAGTAAAACGAAATAAATAAAAGTTCTTACAACTATACCAACATATAAACAAATTAATTTTAAATATTCAATATTATGTTTGTTCATTTCACAATAATTATTTAGAATTTTTGCACATAATAAAAACTACCACCATTTTTTTTTTTTTTTTTTTTTTGGTTCACCGATCTCTCCGACAAAATCGAAAGTCTGCTCGGCAAGACGCGATAATACAGGTGAAATATCGTAAAAAATATGGGCCAATGAAAAAAGATATATTTTTCATTTCGGAGGGGGGTCTCAGCCCAAAAGAAGTGGACCCGCCGGTACGTAAAAGTAATAATTATATTTCAATACAAGTAATAAATAAACTCAAAACTGTGCTACAATTTTTTTAAGCATGGTACTCAAACCCAATAATTTCCAATCTATTAATTATTAAAAATATTTCATTGAACAAATCAATGTACCCAATAAAAAATCCGCTAAATGAAAATACATAACTATTAATCCATGTTATTTTATGGCCAAAGCTCATGAAATACGTATGATAAGCAGATTCATATTAAGAGAAAGGAATCTTCTTAACAGATCAATTAATAAATTTATATAATAATAAATCATATCTGGCATTGCAGAAGTTAATACGATTGTTTTCAACGATATTCTACATGCAACGTATGTTAAGGAATATAAATGATAAACTGCACATGAGAACAACATCAGGTTAGACAATAAATAAATAAAATAAAAGTAAATAGCGAAGGGTAACGACCTAGCGGACTGGCGAACCATCATGATCGGGGGAGTATCCCCACATTCCAGACATTCAGGAGACAGTGCCCCCTCTCCTCGCCTGGTCAGCACGGGTGGCCAATCCGGGCTCAACCTTCCATTGTTTTGATGTCGTCACGAGATTTTATTTTTTAGAGGTAGTAGACATAGGTCACAGGTACATAAGCGGTATTCCTTCAACAATTGTGAGTCAACTACACACTGTTCATTTGAAATATTTATTGTTTTTTTGGTTTATTATTTTCAATAATGATCTATTGTTTCAATATTGTAATCGACCAAAAAATTCAAAAACTTAACCTCCCTCCCTCAAAATTCGAGGTTTTACGTTTCAAGATACGAAGAATATGAAAAACAAATAAATTTGTTTTTGTCAGTCCGCTGTCCGCGCATTTTCTCCGAGACTACTGAACCGATTTTTTTCAAATTTGAATTATAAGTCAGAGGTTGAATTATAAGTGCAAAAAGTTCAAAAAGCGAAGAAGAATTAGTTTAGGGTCGCAAACAATGGATGATGGAGCTAACTTTCTTCGATCGATGAATAAAGATAACGCCCCTGACTTGTTAAAGTTCATGAATGACATCAAAGCAGTCATATAATAAAAGTCGGCGCTTATTCTCAGTTAATTCTAATTCATCTCAGTTTTTAACCATTAGTCTTGCTAGTTTCCATAATATCTAATATCTAATAATATAATATCTAATATCCAAGTCCCATATAAGTCACTTTCAGTTATCATCTAACTGTAAATAATTAATATAAATCCAGTGTAATTTCCGTCTAATAACCGTAATTTCATCTCACTATGACAAATAAAATATTTTGCTGACATCATAGGACTTGCTTTTACAAGTCTTAAAGCTCTTAAAATCAAGCTACGTCTTAAAGCCAAAAAACAAAAACAAAAATAGTCAGAGGTCACCCGAGGATGATCCTCCTACATCCTCCTATTCATGTTACAATTTCAGCACACCGACTATGGAAATATTTCGCTTATTCCGCAGCCGCTTTTACACGAAGGATGCTAATAATTGGTACTAAGGTTCAAAACCGTTTAAAATAAAAAAGAGGCAACAAAATTGCAGTTCAATCTTTCAAAAGTTAATCTCATGGACACAAACACAGATCGATAGCTGTATATGAGTTGTTTTGGACTGAGAGAGCTCTGAAACAGAGCTAAAGATTAGCTGAAAACTGCATATTGAAAATATGACCCGATTGCAGTACATTCATAATAGAAATCCTTAGCTAGAAGAGGGTGGAGGAGTGGGGCAACCGAGCGGGCTAACACGTGTGCAAAACAACCTGGCAACCTAATAATAATCCGAAGATAAAATGATGAAATAATAACGAGTTCGCATCCCGGTGCCGGGGGCTTTTAAATTCGGACATTAATCTCCCCGCCTTCACCCGGGAAAAAACCCGTGTAGCCTTAGACGAGGAAGAGGTGGAAAAAAAAAAGTAACCCTGGAAGCTTTGAGAAAATAAAAATGTATTTAACCTTCAATTTCAGGAATGTTTACTGCCTACCACATTGCACTGCCGTAAACATATAATTTAATCTTAACAACAGTAATAATTTAATGAAGAGAAGAATAGATGGGGTGATCAGTCAAAAAAAAAAAAAAAAAAAAAAAGAAGGCAAAAATAAATAATAATATTTATTTTATGATAATATTATATCATTTATTTTTGCCTTCTTTATTTTGTTTGACTGATCACCCCAACTATTCTTCTCTTCATAATCCAGGACAGTCAACCATTTACCAATTAGTAATAATTTAAATTTATAAATGTATGAAATTGCTTATAGATCATTTTTACACTATTTCCCAAAATTTCATTCAACACTAGGGCGAATTAAACGAGCGGTTTTTGAAATGCGCATGTGCGTATAAAGAAAATTGAATGAAAAAGCAAAAGGAGATAAAAGTTGGAATATTGGTTAATTTTTTAACTAATCCTTAACTCGCTTAATACTTCAGGCCAAATTGAACAACCACAAAGGCTCGTCTATGAAAATACATTTGCGCAGGCGTAAGCAAAAGTTGAAGATGGAATTCGATCAATCATTGGATATAGAAACATAGCTACTAACCACACACAATCCCTGAAAATCGGGTTTATGGCAGTAGGAGTTATGCTCATTACATAGATATCGCTACGAAGAGATAGACACGGCACCCCATTTGTTCTCTGATATCTAAAACGTAATAATTGAATTGGAACTTTTTCGATTCAGGAAACAAAAGCATTTATGATCTTCCAAAAGAAATAATCTACTCTATACATATGGGAATACAGATTTTATTTATGGCTCTCAGCTGCAATGGATTTTAATGAATGAGATAACAAATACAAAACTTTGAAAACTTACTAAAACTACAACAAAAGTCATTGAAAAAATTGGGATGTTTTTAAAAATCATGGTTTAAAAGTCGACGGACCGAGACCTGGCAGGATAAATTGTTTTAATTTAAAGATTTCG